ATTTCCCTTAACCAGGAAATTAACGTTCTTAGAATTGACAGACAGTTGACCCTGAGAGGTCAAGTAAATATCTACAGCGGATCTAAATATTTATAATTAATTATAACTAGTTATGATTAATTATTCATATTTCCCCTTGAGCTGATTGACTACAGATTGGTGGAGGATGCGGGCATGATAAAACAAAGTTTATGAGCTTAAAACACTGTCGACCTAAAAGTGTGTGCTTGATAGTCCAGGTTAGAATGAAAAATGTTTTTAACCTTAAACCGCATAAACACATTTCATTACACCAAATACACAACATAATGTTCTTTTTTAGCAACGTCATATGACCCTTTAATACAGATGCCAATGTATTTTTCGATGAGTCGCTATGTTAGCAATAATAACATTACCTGCTTGATGGAAAGGGTTGCAAGGTTTTCAGAACAAAACACGCCCAATTGCTACTCAAAACTAGTTGTACAGTAAGAAAGTTATTTCCCTTAACCAGGAAATTAACGTTCTTAGAATTGACAGACAGTTGACCCTGAGAGGTCAAGTAAATATCTACAGCGGATCTAAATATTTATAATTAATTATAACTAGTTATGATTAATTATTCATATTTCCCCTTGAGCTGATTGACTACAGATTGGTGGAGGATGCGGGCATGATAAAACAAAGTTTATGAGCTTAAAACACTGTCGACCTAAAAGTGTGTGCTTGATAGTCCAGGTTAGAATGAAAAATGTTTTTAACCTTAAACCGCATAAACACATTTCATTACACCAAATACACAACATAATGTTCTTTTTTAGCAACGTCATATGACCCTTTAATACAGATGCCAATGTATTTTTCGATGAGTCGCTATGTTAGCAATAATAACATTACCTGCTTGATGGAAAGGGTTGCAAGGTTTTCAGAACAAAACACGCCCAATTGCTACTCAAAACTAGCCCAAACTAACCGCGTTTTGCGGGGTCCCCCGGTAAAAAATTGCGTTCCGGGAGCTAAAATACACTTTAAAAACAACCTGTAGCAACAGTGACAAAGTAGCCCAATTCCATGGGAAAGCCGCGGACTTGGCAACGCTGTGATGGATAGTAATGTGAACGGACACGAGCACTGTCACGGCGTGACCACAACAGCTTTAAATTGTCTAATTTGGCACGGTCTCCCTGCTGCACTAATAGTACCCATACAGAAGTCACATAGATTGAAATATATTAATAATAAATACATTTTAATATATTTAAATATCTTAAATTTAAATAGAAGAAAATATATTTTATACAATATATGTAAATATATTTTGAAATATACTTTAAAAATATATTTAAATATTTGATAAATATTTTTCACATATATTAAACATATGTAAATATATTTTTATCGGAAATATTTACATATATTTATTTCCTTTATATGTAAATACATTTAGATATCAGACTATGTAAATATATTAATTTGCAATATATGTCCATATATTAATTTTGAATATTTGTTAACATATTACATTTATGTATATGTAAATATATTAATTTGCAATATATGTCCATATATTAATTTTGAATATTTGTTAACATATTACATTTATGTATATGTAAATATATTAGATTTCTATAAATGTATATTAAAACATTCAAATAGTCAATTAATGCTTCTTTAATTAATAAACTTAAACATGTTTTCACAGAATATATTCCCATTTACTCAATATGAAATCTACATGTAAATGTTTTCATTTTATATACTTTATAATTTGCCCCTTCAAAATAAATCAAACAGAAATTTAAAAAATTAAAAAATCTCAAAACAATGCAACTTAAAAACAGTGACAATATCAATAGAATTGACTTAATATAAAGAGTACATTTATCAACACCAGTTCAGCATGAACCTATGGAACGATATTCCGGACAATTTTCAAAAGGAATTGCAAATTGTATTTTCAATTGCGTTTTCAATATATGGATGCATAAATTATGACATAATCCAAATGCAATTGCAAATCCTGCATTAGCATTTGCATTTTGACTGCAACGCACAGTGACTGCCAACTTTCAAATGAAAAAACAAAGTCCATTTGCAGCTGTATTTCCCATGTCTTAGGAGTTACGAGCCTGTCATATTTAAATAGCAATATTAATTACCAGTCTGCTTTTTCACTCTCGCTGCGTCGCGCATGTAACCTGCCCATTACCGAGGGAAGTAGGGGTGCTGCAGTGCTGGGGGTGCGGTGTTAAAAATAAATGAATGAACAATATGTAATACAAAATAAAT